ATGCAATGACTGTCAGGCAGAGTTGCAATTCTGTCGCAAGAAAGTTTTCATACAAAAGAAATTAGGTTTGTCGCAGGTTGGCAAATTTTGCAACAAATGCGATGTTTGCAATAACTTTGCGACGATTCATGCATCCCACTAATATTTGTATCGAAATTCTTAGGGTCGGTCAAAAATCGCGAGACTTAACCACTGAGCTCTTTTAGCACTAGGCTGGCTGCATTAAGAGATTCGCCTGAAAAAGAGAAGGAGAATAATGTAGCTAGTAATACTATGCGCCGGTCCCTAGAGTCAGTTTTAGTCAAATAGATAACAATTTTTTTTTAGTATAAACCTTTTTTCTTTTTAGTAAGTACTTAAAATACGTATTTTTATTAGACTCTGTTTAACCAATTAAATAACTTGCTGTAACTTGTAATTTATATTTCTTGTTGTCTATGTATGTATGTATGTGTAAAAATTTAACACTCACATTTTCTTTCTTTGTTTTTATGAAATGATTTTATATGTATAAATCACAACAATATTTTAGTCACACAATTTACAAATAAACCGTTATGTTAAACCTAAAAGGTAAATGCACGCACGTATGTACATACATACATTTGAAAATTTTTTTAGACAAATTTGAATACAATTATTTTCATTAACAACACATTTTTGTTTTAATTTATAAATTTTTTTAGTTCGGTATTAAAAAATTAGCAACTAAAGACTTGGCACATACGTACTTATTGATATACAATAATTATTGATCCACATTTCCACACATTACACATACATGTAAATTACGTATTTACAGTGTACATATGTTTGTATGTATGTACCGATTTTAATTAAGTGCTATTGAATGCCATGCATGGCTTTTATTTTTTATTTTAATTAACTGACTTTTCATTTAAATTACATTTTAACATATAAAAACATGTTTTCACAATATTATTAGAAAAGCTTATATAAAAGAATTAATGCATTTTTGCTTTTTTATTATTATTTTATTTTCATGCCAGACATATTGAAATATTTTTTTTGTATATTTATTGTAGTTTGTGCTTTCACATTAACATTGACAAAAACGCAACAATTAATTATAATATTTTGTTTGTATGTATCTACATATATTATCATTTAACATCTTAATTAGTTGTTCGAATTTGATTTAACATTTCAACTAGAAGTTTCGTTTAGCATACTTGCAATAGAAGTTTTTCGTAAAAAATGCTTAAAAAAATTTCAATATTTGCCTTTTGTTCTCAACAGGAAATCGTAGTGTGAACTAATACATAGAAAAAATTTTAGATTTCAATAGTCACCTCTATCAACTACAGGCATACAATAGCGTGGTCCTTAAAATATCAGACCTAAATGGGCACCCCTTTATTCTATTCTACATACAAAATAGAGACACCAACGAAAACTTCATGTTACATAAACTTTTAGGAGTCGCTGCCAGGTTTTGAAAAAAACATATATATATAGCCAAAAATTGACAAACTTATGATATTGGTCGGCTATAACACAGCGTCAAAGTCAAAATTTTGTTGAATTTTCGATTTTTTTTATTTATTTTTTTTTAATTCTGGTAGGCACTTCTAAACATTTGTTTAATTTTTGGAATTTTCGTGTATGTTTTAATTTATACGTACCACAAAATAAGGAGGGCCCCACAAAAAATTTAGATGTTGATATTTAACGGACCACCCTAGTATACATACAATCATATGTATGTCGTTTGTATAAAATAGTTTTCTTATACTTCCTAAACTTATCAACTTACACATTACATTTTTATCCTACAATGCAACCATTTTCTAGTTTATTTCAGTTTCTTACAAAATGAATTTCAGTTTACACTGACGCCTACCGTATAACCTCCACTCTACCGTATAAAAATATTATAAATAGATTAATTTTTTTCCACCAATTACTAACCTAACAAACACTTATGCAAAAGTACAAAATTAATTTATTCACGCCAGGGACCGCAAAGGTTATACGGATGTTTATAGTAAAAATTATAATTTAACCGTCAAATTAGATTGCTAGTTTACCGATTAAGTTTAACCGTTATTCTATGATTTTTATTTTTTCGATCAAGAATAATCGTTTTTTTCGATTTTAATTTCTCCGTTCAATTTTCAATCGATATTTTAAATTTATAATTTTTGAACATATGCAAAACGTTATTTTCAGATTTAATTTTTTAGATCATAAACGATTTATTTCGATCATAAAAAAGCAATCTTTATTATAACGGTCTAAAATTTTTCGAAAATACAAAAATCCAAATTTTACCGAAAAAATAAGAAACATAAAAGAAAGATTAAACTTCATCAGAAAAGTAGAAATCCAATTTTAATGATTAAATTATGATTATTATCCGATAAAATAACAATTTTTCTATGACCTAAAAATAAAGATCTCGATATTTAACGGTTGTTTTCATCCCCTGATTCACGCGTTTCTTGCATATACAGTGACTCAAACAAATGAAAACGTGTTGTTTGTTTTTAATATTCGAAATATTTTTCCAGCAAAATTTTTTTTTTGTATAAAAATATCATCTAAGCTTTAACCGAAACCGTGTAAATCACAGTTTCAAGCTTTATACAAAATTTAATTAATTCAACAAATCTTTATCAAAATTTCAACTTTTTATTCTCAATGTTTAGAAAATGTTTGCTAATGCACTTATATAGCCCATACAATTTTAGTCAGATGAAGTGCAAGTTTCAAACGACTAAAAAATCGCGTTGATTTTTGAGATTTTTTTTATGTATGAAAAAAGTGCAAAAATCCATCACCAAAAAAATCTCAAAAATCAACGCGATTTTTTCGCCGTTTGAAACTTGCACTTCATTAGACTATGGGTGACTTCGTTTCTACGAAAAAATTTCGCCTTTTGATTGCCCCTTTCTCTTTTCGTGTTCGATTTTAAATTAAGGGCAAAAGGTGAAGAAAATTTGTGTTCTTTTCTTAAAATTTCACACTCTTTTAAGGCAAAAAAAGGTACCTTTTCTACCCTTTGAAGCTTTGTCAGGGAAGATGGTTGTCCTGAAAATCAGATGGTTGCTTAAAACGATAATATGATGAAATACGTGAGCTGGACAAGGACAAGAAGGCAAAAGCTATTATTTTCAAAGGGTTGAGTGTAACATCAAGCACATTTTGCACCGTGCAAGGTTCACATTTTTTGGTATACCAAAAAATTTTATAAAAATTCGGAATAAAAAATTGAAATTTTGATAAAAAATTTTTGAGATTTCCTAAATTTTGTTGACGTTTGAAACTGTGATTTACACGGTTTTAGTTAAAAATACAAAAAAAAATTAGCTCCAAAAAAAATTTGAATATTTGAAGAAAATCAACACGTGGTCATATGTTTGAATCACTGTATTTAAAAACACTATACTAATAATTAGCACATTTTAACGCAAAATCAATTTCACTACTTTTTGACTACAGTATCATATAAAGTGATTTATTCGTATGATTAAATATCACTGGGGTTTCCACACCGCATCTTACAATGTCCTTACTAAGCCAAGTAACTGTTCTGTATATCGATTGAAATTCAGCAAGTTAAGTTCAGCAGGGTAAGTTATAATCCTCATTACTTAGCTGTGCTCTCTTAGTAAAGCTTATTTCAAGCTTACTTTAGACAGCCGTATTCCCAATGGACTTCTACCCAGACCGCTCTAATCAGAATATTGGTCTCGAAACTACCATCAAATTAAAAAATTTTTGGCTGCATGATGAGCTCCCGTAGTTTATTGAACAAGCCTCGCACAGTGGAAGAACTCCATATAAAATATGGCAAAAAGTAATGAATGTGCTTCGATTTTGCTGAACATTTTAACGTGGAATACTTTTGCCTAGGAATATATAAATATGAAAAAAATTATGGAATTTAGCGGACTGACACGCCCACTACACAAGGAGGCGGTTATGGTAAATTTTATCCGATTTCAATGAAATTCGATTCGTAACTTAGATTAACCTAAGCAGACATAGATCTGAATGATGGGAAAAATCGGTCAACTGCCACGCCCACCAACCATCCGAATTCCGACTAGTAACGATTCTCCAAAATAGCAAACATTTGGTGCAAGATCAATTTTTTTATAAAAACCCCCAAATATATAACAAATTGTGTGGATTTGCGACCAGCCATGCCCCCTTCCGCCTCTCTAGTAGGCGGGAATGGGAAATGTTATCCGATTGCATTGAAAATCGGTTTGTAAGGTAGCTTAATCCAAGTAACAAACCGAATTTCATTGGAATCGGATAGCTTTTACCATATTCGCCCCCTAGTGTAGTAGGCGTGGCAGTTAGCCAATTTTTACCATTTTGATAATTGTGCTTTCCTTACTGAAAGTGGCACAAATAGCAAATTTTAGCAAAAAAACGTTTACTATCTTTTCCAGCAACTTTTATAGGGATCTGAGGACGCAGCTGAAATTGATCTTGCTATTATCTTAAAGTGTGCAAAGTATTTTTGTACAAATCACCCTCCACCGCGCCACAAATAATTTTTACACCCCATAAAAACATTAAAATGTCCGTAGCTAAGTACTGGGAAAAATTATGAAATCATTTGAAGAGCCTGGCTCACGGATATATATCCTTATAATCAGCAGAGAGGTATACGCTGCAGCACAATATAGTATAATAATGAGGTTTCTGAGCTAAACTTTCTTTGTTACTTTGTTCACCTTAAGAGCTTAGGGAGATACACTCACTGAATCTACTTAGATTTCTAACTTTTACGGGTATAATCTGACCTAATAGGTGCAATTTTCCACTCTCTTTTCTCTTACGTTCAATTCCGAGCGACCTTATGTACCAGATTTTGTCTATCTTAATTCAACCTCTACCGACTATTTAAATAAGTCCAGCCTTAACAGAGCTTTGTATTATTAAAACTATTTTAAGATTTCTTCGTGTCTTACTTATTTATTTCCCACATGTACTCCTTAGTTCTAAACAGCGTTTCGTAGCTCCTTTTGAAAGGGAAGGATGTTACTTTCAAGTTTCTCATTTACATATGTTTACCACTTCTACCGAGTTTAAGACCTAATCTGTGTTTTAATATAACCAGATCTTTCACGTTTATTCACAATGTTCCTTCTCATGCTCCTCTCTTATTTCCTGCATTAAATTCTATTTAAAAATTACACTTACCTACATTACTAAAACTGCTCTAACAGGACTTCCTTTGTATGTAGTACTTGTATACGTTGTATGTATATTAAGATTTCTTTAAATGTTCACATTTAAAAGCTAAAGCTTATTCCAAACCTTCTTTCGTTGCACGCGTTAACCTGTTTCATAGACACCTGAAAATGAGGTACCTACACTCGAGTCTTCGCACTCTCATCTCCTTACAGTTCGGCGAAAATATTCTCCCTAAAATCCAACTCTGGATGTGCCGAATGCGACGAACCGTGACTATAGTCACGCGATTTCATTGAACTACGCGCCGAAGATGAAGAGAAGCTAGACGTACGTCCACTACTGCGTCGCATTCGGCCCTCAACCACAGACATTTTTGATAACGGTTGCGTGGGATCCAATTCACCGAACGCACCCGCAATAAGATCGCTGCTATTTAGCGAATTGAAGCTATCTCGCTTCGAGTTGCGATGCGAATTTGAGTTCTGGCTGTGGTGCGATGATTTGCGGCTAAGTCGACGCGAGTACTGATACTGGTAGGCGGAAGTGGGCGTGTTAGATGCTGCAACGCCGCTGCCCGCATGAGGCACAGCGTTTCCAGCACCCGGTGTAAACTTGTCGAAGAAATCGGACGGCACTTCTTCGTCCACATCGATGCCGCTCTCACCTTCGTCGTCGCGAGGCAGTCCATGCGCTGCACGTTCCTCGCCGCTGAGCGTGGATGCAACACTGTAGGCTTCTGTTGTGCTACTACCACCACTACTTGATTGTAGCGGGTCACTACACAGCAGCGAGTTGGGTGTGCTATCTTTTGCTGTCGCCGTTGAGGGTGTCGGCGTGACTTGTGAGGATACGTCGTAACTGTACGGATCTAGTTGGGGTTTTGGCGAACGCTGATAAATCTTATCGATATCGGGCAGTTTGCGACGTTCACCCACCGTCATGCGCACTGTTTCGCCATTTTGCTCACGCTCAATCATCTCCTGTATGTTCATGCTGCGCTCGCGTTCCAACATATCGATTATCTCCAAATCGCGCTCGAGCGTACTAGCCGTGTCCATGTGCGAGAAACTACTGCAATCACTGAATGATAAATCCTTATTGCGCAACAAAGGCTGACCACTGAGGCTCCACTTCTTGTGTTGCGTATAGTTGACCGCACTCTGACCGCTGCCGCTGGGCACAATCATGCCACTCACTATGGAGGAATCTTCGCCATCGCCAAAGTTACTTGCACCGCCATCATCCTCGAGCAAACTACTGGCGCCATTGCAGTACGTCGAGGAGGTCATATTCGAGCAGGAATTATCCAATGAACCAAGTGTCAATTTGCGCTCACCAGCGCTTCCTCCTCCTCCTCCTCCGCTACCGCCACCGCCAACACTCTCGCGTCGACTGCCGCTGCTTACACTGCTGCCCTTCGGCGTTTGACGCGCCTGCAGCTGGCCACCAGCACTGCCGACGCCTGCCAACGCTGACTTATTGCCTTTTCCGCCATCCGATATTATCTTAATCTTCACATCATTCTTCTTCACACGCACATCCTTCGCCAAAGCTTGCCTACCATGGCCATGCTGACCTGCCGCACCGCCATTCATGGTGTCTCTGCCAGGCTGTCGGCTGTTATGGTGATGCTGCTGCTGTTGTTGCTGAAACTTGGCCGCCCTGTTGAGTTCGTGTCGCGTTACCAGCGCTGTACCGGTAATACTGCCACCCCCGTTCAAGTACTCTTCACCATTCACCAGGATCGAAGTAGCTGCTGTGGTATTTGTGTTGTCATCCTTCTCAATGGAATCCTCCCTGGAACTGGGCGTATGGCCACTGCCGCCGTGACTAACGCAGCTGCGCGACTTGTGGAAACGCTTGGTGGAAAGACGAAAATAGCCGCGTATACGTTCTTGCTCATCCCTGTGCGAAAGACGAAGGGAAGAGAATAAAAAGTAAACAAAGTTAAGAATAAATTATGTACATGTGGATAGTCATGATGATAGCAATACGGTATTTTTATAGCTAAAGAAGAGAAAATAGATAAGCGCAAATAACGGGATTTAATTAAAATAAACATTCTGCAAATCCCCATTGCTGACGCTGACGACTGACTGCGCGAGCTCAGCAAAGCTGATTGTAATTAGTAATTCAATGTCCTTATTTTTACGATGGACATGCAAAGTGGCTATGCTTTGGGCTTAAGTACAATTTAAAGAAGATGAATGGAAATCAGAATGGAATAAAAGCGAATATGAAATAAATTTAAGGCCAATTAAGATTGAAAAGCGTAAATGAATGCATTAAAAGAAAACCAGAATGTATACTTTTTTGACAGTTGAAAAAAAGTGGTCATACATCATCATCAATTAAAACTGGACATCAGTGTTGCCAGATTCATTGTTTTGACTGCAAATTACAATTTGAACGAAAAGGTTAAAATTTCTCTTTAGATTTTTTTTGTAAGTAAATCATAAAGATAAAAGGCACGATGAAGTAGCAGCGTTTGTTGATTTTAAATAAAAGGTGTCGTTCGTCTTTTGATTTTCAGTCGCCACAGCAAATACGGAAAGAAATTTTTTCCGAGTCAATTTGAATCAAAGGAGAAATAAAACCTGAAACTCCTGCACTGCTATTTTAAGAACAAAATATTTTCAAAACAAGCTTTCAGGAAGTACTAAACTAGAAACTAAATTTCATTAAAACAAAATGGTATTTATTTAAATATTCCATTTTATAAAGTCTACTTTTTTAATTAATGAATGAATTAAAATGAATGGAGTTTTGTTATTTATGTATAATAATATTCAAATATATATATGTTTTTTAATTCTATTTGTTTTTAAGGCTACAGATTTTTTATCGAAAATACAGTTCTTTCCGGAAACTTCAGTTAAAAAAACAAAATTTGGCAACATTTCTAGACATATAAAATTAACATCAAAAAGGTGAACAAATCGCTTCTTTTTGAAAAGTCATATAAAATATGGACAGAAAAAAGTTGAACGCGAATATTGAACTGAAAAGTTTACATAGAAAACTGAACAAGGAATATCATGCAATAGCTGTTGTTTACTTTCCAGCGTCCACATCTTTGTATTCGTCTTCCAAAAACGAAAAAACCTATCATTTGAGGCAAGAAATCGTATAAGTACGCTTTTCAAATACCCGCCAATAATTGATCAGTTTCTCAATGACCTATGCAGTTTTTTAAGAGCCAAAAATATGTATCCAGCTTTTAAGTTATAATAAATTATGTGCAGCTTCTTATTAACACTGGATCACAAATTTGTGTTGTTTTTTATACGCCACGAGCCCCTATCCAATTCTTTTTAAGAATCGCTCGTTGATTCCGAAAATCACGTTAATTTTTTTTAATTTGCCGTTAATCAACTTCAAAAAAAAGTGATTCCACTTAATCACGTACATATGTTTATCTTGCGGCAATCGAGAACTAATGAAATTCTCCTTACCACACTTTTAATAGGCCTGTTAGTTTCTGAGAAATTAAATGATTCCAGATTTTTTGTTTTTTTGATGAAAAATTAAAAAGAACATAACTTTAACAGGGAAAAAATTTAAACATAACAGATGCTGTGCCAGTTTTTTTCATTTGTCTAAAAGCAGTTTCTGTTGCAAAAGCTACTAATAAAGAAAATTGATGGATAAATAAAAAAGGAAAGAGTAGTGAAATGAAAACGCGGAAGAATTTTTTGTATGAAATATGAGCAGGAAAGAGTGTTACTCATGTATACATGTCTCGAGCTACATCGATTTTCATCATTAGTAGCTTGAGTTTTTTCATGAGAATAGAATTTATCACATATGAAAAAAATTTACACAAAGGCTGTTATTTTTTTTTTCTCTGTTAAAGTTTGAATTTTTTTCCTAAAAAACCCTGGAGTGACTAGTTAACTTCTCAGAAGCTATTAGGGCTATCGAAAAGTGTTTTCTACACATGGAGAATTTGCAAGTTCTTATTGTCTGTGTTTCGTGTTCAGATTACTCAATTTTTTCGTAGATATATACGTTTAGGTGGAACTACTTTTTTAGCTGAGTAACGGTAAATTGCAAATATCTCGAAAGCTTATACAAAAAAAAAAAAAAATTTACTTGATTTTCGGAATCAGCGAGGAATTCTACATAAATATGGTATCTGGTGTGCCTTTTTGATGACAACCAGTATTACTTCGAAATGTGTTTCCAGTTTTTAATTTGTCAAACAGTTATAGTTACTAAAAAAATAGCCGAGTTTTTAAATGGTAAAAAAATGTATGTCCAACTTTCAAATGAACAAAAAATTATATCCCGATTCTAGTTCACGAAAAAATAATTACATTATCAAAATATCATATCCGTATTTTAAATTGGCTAAAAGTTATGAACAGCTTTTATATCATAAAACATTTGTGACCAGTCCACTTTTCAAATTTACAATAGTCAGGCCCGCTTTTGAGTTAATGAAAAAATTATGTCCAGATTATTAATTGGCCAAACATTATGCCCAGATTATAAATTGGCCAAAAATTATGTGGAATTTTTAAATAACAAATTATTTGCGACTAATTTATAAATACTACAAATTTAAGATGAGATTTTAATTAACCATAAAATTATGTTCAGTTTTTAATTATATACTAAAATTATGTGGCCAATTTTTAAATTGCCAAACATTTATGTACAGCTTTTTAATTAAGATTATATGTATAGGGTGATCCAACTAGACCTTAGTTTTTTAATTTTAAATAAAAAACTTAAAACATCTTTGTTATCACCCGAACGAAGAATCTCTGGCATTTACTTTTTAGAACGCCAACGGTTCAGGGCCATTATAATTCGTTATATTTAAACTCATTTTTTGAAATTGGCTATTGCGGCTTCCATTTCATTATTCTTGTACGCAATATTTCTCATATTTTATTTCTAAATTTGCTAAAGTGGTATTAAAGGTTCAACAAGTTGTTTGTTCTTTATTTATTTTACGCTTTCGTGAATTTCTGTTTTCTTTTTTTTTGTGTAAATAATTGTTTAGTGCGCAAAGTGGAAATTCATTGTTACTGGTTCTTACGGTTTACTTTTTTTGTTTTCACTTTTTATGCATTTGGTTCGCGACCAACCACTTTCTTGCAAAAGGCAATGGGAAACTCATTCTACGAGTATAAAGGAGAAATAAACAAAATGAATTAATATATTAGGACAAGGGATAAAAAGATGAAATGTCTAAAATAAGAGTGGCCAAAATGGGAAATTTCGGTAGAATTTGAGAAGTACGGCAGAATGACAGCAAAAAATGCCAATTTAAAAGGAAAAACAGGAAAAACATTAAAATATAATTTCCGCAGAAAAATGCTAGGTAAAAGTGATTTCCTCTACAAAATTTTTTGATGCCAATCAAATTAGAAAATACAAAGAAAGTTGCTTTGTTGTGGTTCGTATGCATGTATATGGTTCATTGTATAAAAGTCGATAAAAAATTAAATGAAAAATTAGCAGACATTGTTGCGGTTAATACTTCATATTTTTTCTCTCAGTACATCTACATACTATTTATAACTACATGTATACTGTACACATTTTTGTTGAATAATTTGACACTGAAAAGCCCTAAACTAAGGATGGTAAAAAGTTTTGAGAAGTAAGGTTGCCAGATATTTGAAGGGTCAATAAAATATTTCAGTTTCTTCATCAAGACTAAAAGCGTTTGAAGATATATAAAAATATTTTTGAACTGGGTTGCCACACCTAAAAAAATAGAACAATGATTATTAAAATTTTAAGCTTATTTAATACCACAATGTGTGTATCACACGAAGGTGGACTAACATGTTTCGAAATAGGGTTGCCACCGATCTGTTACCTAAGATGGGGTAATATTTTAACTTAAGTGAAATGATGCAATATGCATTTTTGCACATTCGATAGTTTGACATGGTAGCGGCTAAAACTTCATTTTAATACCTTTTGTTTGAAACCCATAGCATGTTAAAAAAAATGTTATTGTAGATAAATGGCAACCCTACTTACTTTTACTGACAAGGAGTGAGGTAGGAGTTAAAAATTACTAAAACTCTGCTTACGTAATAGCGCCTTATTTAAAAAATAATGAGTGTTTAGGTCGTTAAATAAATTTTGTTTTTATTTAAAAAAAAAAACAGGCCGAAAAGCTCCAGGAATAAACACTTAAGATAATTTACACCCTCAAAATCACAGAATAACAATTATTTAAAACAAAATAAAAATCATTAAGACGGTAAAAAATATAAAAAAAATCTAATTACAACCAATTATTTATAGTTTTTATTTAAAAAACAATAACACCTTCCATCCTATACATTGCTACAAATAGTTGAAGTTACTGATATAATCGATATATGTACATATTTATCGATGCATCTTCTAAGGGCCGGTTACGCAATGTCTGGTTAGTTTTTAACCATGATTCTATTATTAAATTTTGGATGAAAATTGACATTTGCGTTTTCCGATTGCCTTGTAAGGTTGCATTTGAGAAGTTTATAGAAAAGGGTAATAATTTGATCCCCTTTTGTCATCGATATAATTTTCGATATCCCCTTCATCGCATCACTTACAAAGCACAATTGTTTGGCTAACACATGATTGAGCTGTGAGCAATCAAATCAAAAGCATTCGACTTTGGATCTTTGCTGCTATTAACTTAATTAAACTCAACCATTTGTAGAAGGCTTACGTACCATAACGAAGTTATGCTTTCACAAATAGCTTTTAAGTCTACTTCTCAACACTATCCCCCCACTATCATTCCACATAACCACACTCCACTCCAACACTTACCTGGGTAATATTTGCGAGGCATAAATGCATGGAAATATAACGGTTGGCAGAAAAGCTATCCACACAAACATCAAGTAGGTGAAGTCAAAGTGTTTCTGATTCTCGTAGGTCTCCTCCATGGAGAGTCGTGCGAAACGTAAAATCATCAACGGACACAGGCAGACCACTTGTGCTGCGGCCATGCTGCCAAAGTTGCGTTGCTTTCGCTTCTCTCGATAGACATCCCACTCGGCGCTATACAGATCGTACGAACGCGTTTTCGTTGCAGAGCAATTGGAGGAAGTAAGACCAAGCCCGCCAGCACCGCTACTGCTGCCACCACCATTTGTATGTGTAGTGGTGGGCGCTGAGGAGCCGATGCCCGAGGTGGAGGTAATGGTAGCGCCAACGCTGGCACCCACCGATGAAGCTGATGAATTGCTGCAAATGAGGGAGAAAATACAAATGAATGATGAAGCGCATACATTAATATCTACATATGTTATTATATAAATATGTATGTAGGTATGGGTAAGAGGGTATGTGATATCCATTACTAGTTGAATGGTTTGCTTGGTATGTAGAAATGGGCATAACCCTGCAGGAAATGTATCCATGTAACTATAATTGAACTTGAAGCTGATTAAGAAAAAACTAAAGACCACTATTATCTGTTTATTTTCTTTGATGAAAGCTAATTATGTATATTTCTATGGAGGTGGTTGCGAAATAGTCAAGGGTGGTTACCTCTACATTGGATGTCAACTAACTTGTAACTAACTACTTTTGGGCATAAAATATCAATAAGAAAAACTAAATATTTTTTTGTTTTTTTTTTTTACTTTTTTATTTATTTAGTTTATTTAACATTACAGTCTATATATTCTTCATTCATTCATTTAATTTGTCCGGAATTCGAAAAGTTATTTGTGAAGTGCAGAAAAAAGTGTATTCAAAGTAAAATTTTCTATGAGGATATTCAACTAGAATCTTTTGCATTACTTTTCAACTAGTTTCAAGTTAGCCTTTTGTAGTTAACTACAAGTTATATATTTTATGGAAATCCCGCAAAAAAAACAGTTACAAGTGGGTTATTTTTTATAAATTTATGCTTTTTTCTGCAGGAGAATATCGCGAAAATGCAGTTATTACCGCTATTTCACAGCCAGCCTCGTAATAATGTTATTAAATTTAGCTAGAAAACAATGAATAAATAACAAAGACAGGCGTCAAAAGACGATGCCAACGGCGTGAATTGACGCTTAATGTCGATTAATTTGTAGCTGCGTTTCCCAGGTGAGAGACTACAAGCAAATTGTGTTTAAGTACAATAAATTTCAGGACACGAAGGAAACAAAGCGCTGGCTTCCTTTTGTAATAAATTGAAGACCTTGGCCTATTCTGGTATGAGGTAAGGGAAACAATTCAAGGTTATGAATTTCTAAAAAAAAGTATATTATT